TGCCCATTTTTCTTCCCCGATCGATCTCTTTCCGAACTCGTTGTTTGCTTGAATCTAGGTAGATTCCGCCATGAACTCGAATTACGGCAAAGGCTCGTCTGGGTCGATGAATAACTTCAATTTCGATCTGGGTCTTGGATCGAATCGTTCTAAACCCTTGAACGAACAGAGGAATCAGAACTCGTCCGGTTACTCTTCGTATTCGTATTCATCTGCAACGGGGTCGCAACCGAGGCCTGCTTTTCAACCGGGGAAGCCTTCATGGACTCACCAACCTGCTGCGGCGACGAGTCAGCCAGCTCGCGCTGGGTTGGAGGGTCCGAATTCGATGGTTGGAGATATATTTGGCAAGACCTGGGGATCCACGGGTCCAGCTGCGAAGAGTTCCGGGATAGGGATTGGTGTTGCAGAGAAGAACCCGAATTTGTTTGGGGATCTGGTGAGCTCTGCTTTGGGGCAGGGGAACAAGAGTGGGAGCAATGCCCCTTTGAAGAATGCGACTCCGACACCAAGCAAGAGTTCTTATTCCATGGGGAATATGGCGGATTCTTTGCCTAAGGTTAGTAGTAACTCGGCCCAAAGTGGTGCTGGTTGGGGATCTAATAGGAACGTCAGCAGTGCTGGTGCTGGTAACGTGGGTGTGAATGGTAATAAGAGTACGAATACGAATCTTGGTGGTTCTTCCATGAAAGGGATGGCGGCTGCAAGCGGAGGAATAATGGGGGGAAACAAGGATCCATTCGTCTCTCTAGTCGACTTCTCGTCAAAACCTTCTCAATCTGGTAGTGGCCTTAACTCTGGTCCCAAAGGTAATAATAAACCTAATTCTAGTGTCAATGATCCATTCGGTGACTTCCAAACTGCTTCAAAACCAAGCTCTACTTCAACTCCTTCTAGTGGGTTTGGTGCAAAAGATCCATTTGGGGATTTCCCAAAAGCCTCAAAACCTGGCTCAACTTCAGTTCCTTCTAGTGGGTTTGACTTTGGAATGCCGAGCAACGACTTTGGCTCTCAGAAACAGACACAGTCCTCAGTTCCAGCTACAAGCAGTGATCCACTTGGGATGTTCTTCAACTCTTCAGCAGGAAGTGCTGCACCAGCATCTTCGGCAGGTGCAGGGCAGCAGTTCTCAGAACTTGATGATTGGGGGGTGGACTCAGGGTTTGATGGTGCAGATGGCCCCACCACTACCGAGCTCGAAGGGCTTCCTCCACCTCCTGCAGGGGTTTCTGCTTCTGCTGCAAAGAGCAAGGGTGTGGACCATCAAAAGCAAGGGCAGTATGCTGATGCCATTAAGTGGTTGTCATGGGCTGTGGTGCTTCTTGAAAAATCTAAGGATAAAGCATTATCTGCTGAAGTTCTGTCGACTAGAGCCTCATGTTATAAGGAAGTTGGAGAGTACAAGAAGGCAGTCGCCGACTGCACAATGGTATCATCTTGTCTTTCTCTTTTACTTGTCAATGATTATACCATCACTATGCTGTCGGTTCTCTACAATTGTTGGTTAGTGTCTGATTTCCCGATGGAAACCTAGTACTGAGAGAAGTCTCTCACCCTTCAAGGGTTGCCCACTCAAGTTTTTCCAGAAGAGTCATTTGGCAGAATCTGTTGCATAGTTGAACTAAACCAAACAAGGCTTTCCAAATTGCACATGTAACAGCATGTAAAATAAACAACTTCCAATTGACACAGATAACATCAGTTCACAATTACACCAAATCAATATGGCTTATGCTTTTCTATGAGGGCCTCTTTTACTTCCCATTAGCAATGCGAATCTCTTCCTTAAACCCGGTGTTCTTGCCATTGTAGTAATTACGTTTTGCTATTATTCGCATTCTGGCAGGTGCTTGAAGGAGATGAGACCAATGTATCGGTTTTAGTCCAGCGAGCACTTCTATATGAGAGTATGGAGAAGTACAGGCTGGGTGCGGAGGACCTGAGGGCTGTTCTTAAGATTGATCCAGCTAACCGGATCGCAAGGAGTACAGTTCATCGCCTGTCCAAAATGGCAGACTAGAGAAAAAGTACGCACTTTCTACACTGTATTCTAGCTTTTCTTTTCAGATTACACACTTCTGCCCCCTCTCTATGAAATTGTGGGGTAAAGGGAGCCCTTTTTTTCTTTTCTGCCAGAATGTCTGTATTACGATTGTGGAGTTTGCATGTATTCCATTTTTTCACTTTCATTTCTGTTTGCATGTGAGTGAAGAATTCATCTTCATCCCATACTCTTTTGTTCTTTCTTTCATAGGAGATTCATACAAATACAATACTCAAACAAGGCCTTTTCTGTTTGTAATAATCACTATTGTCTCCTACTTTCATGATTGCCCATCAAAGCATTTTTGGTTCCTTGAGTAGTATACTGCTGCAACTGAACTATAAGAGAATACTAATGTTATTGTGAAAAATATCACTTACCAGGAGTGTTTGTTTGTCAAAACTAAATGCCTTGAATCAGTAATCACCCTCTGTCATTGATCAATTGGAAGTCTTTGATTACACTCTGGTTTACTTTTGCTTGGGAGGAGAAACCTATGTGATTGCCGGGTTGTCTTTGTGCCTCGAATTACCTACTGCAGTCAAATCGACAATCCTATTATCATTGGTGAACTCGGGTATCGTGTTCATAGCTCGCCCAGTCGAGTGTGTGCCCCCCGTGAGCACTTTCTCAATGATGAGGCTATGACCATTTCCGCCAAGTTGGTCATTGGTTTACTGATAGCCGTGGAACCAAAAGATGATTTTTGCTGATGAGGAGAAAGCTATGAGATTCCTTATTTGTCATGATTGAACCGACGATCATGGTAGTGCGATGTTCACCTTTGTGAAAGTATCTCTCGCGTGTTATCGTGCCTTCTCGCTTGTCATATAAATACGAAGAGGAGATATCTAGGGCATTATCATGGATTCTTGATATTCATCCGATTTGAGCAACCCAATAAGCTCTCCATATCCACATATGGACACTAGTATGTACTTCTTTGATTTGAACTAGTTGTACATTTATTCTGCTGAAAACTACTGTCAAACAATCATTGCCCACCAACAAGAGAGTAAATCCTCCTGCTGCATACTTTCACCAAACCCATTCTGCCACCAACAAACTAAAAGCAGCAGCTGACCAAATGCAACCATCATCTATTCCTTCCTGCTGCGGGAAAAGAAAATATCTCGATACAGAATGAAGTAGAGAAAGTACACGAACTGCAGAAAAGTGAAGAGGCTGAAGAAGAGGACAAACTGAATGAGAGAAGGAAGATGGGTAAAGCTGCCATGCATGCAGTGAAATGACGGCATTCATGACTCTTTAAGTTATATCCGTTCGCTTATTTTTTTTGTTTCTTGGAAAGATGCCATGAACGGTATTGAAGAGATCAATGGAAGGAAGGCGTGGGCGGTATGCAATTTGTCCAACAGAAACCAATCTAACGCCCTTTCTTTATATCAAACCTCTAACAGCTTTAGCAGTTTCCTCGCAGCCTGCAGCAACTTGCTCCCTCCCATAGTGCCATCCCGTCTCTCTCTCTCTCTCTCTCTCTCTCTCTCTCTCTCTCTCCCTCTCCATTTGCTGAGTTGGCTAACAATTTAGGATCCACGTGTCCTCATGTTTAGAATGAGTTGGACTAATCATTCACACATAGGATGAGAATTGAGAAGAGGATATGTGTTAATTTTGGGACCACCAAACATAATTGCACAATTAAGCCCAATAGTCTAATCGGTGGGCTGAATCAGTGGGCCTAGGAATCCCTCTGTCAGCCCAACTCTCAATCAAATCCCGACAGAGTAAGTAACCGAAATGACTGCAAATAAAAAAGGCTCACGAGCGTTGCTCTGCAAAGAAATTTGGTCAGCCCCATAATTTGCTCCCCCAATTACCGACAGCCACGTGGACGCCATTTGTCGTCTCAATGGTACTATCTCTCATCCGACGGCCACGTTTCCTCCACGCGACCCCGTCCCTATCTTTCTTTTCGATCGTCCGTTTCTCCTCCTTTCTCCCAGATTCGCTCACTGCCGTCCGATCAATAAAGGCCCGTTTAGTATCATTTTGTTGTTGTTGTAGTTGCAGTGGTGTTGTGTAAACAGATGTACAACCACAACAGGAAAAAAAACAGAAAACACAAACATGTTTAGTTGATAAATCTGATAAATCATGAAAATTGAAAACAAGAAACAAAAACGCGTTTAGCTACTACTATAAGAACTAAAAACCAGAAAAAAGAGATATGTCCTCAATATTAAGCAAAGTCTCACAAAAGTCAACATACCTAACATCATTCATGTTCCTAAGTGGGCTATTTTAATGAAATCAAGTGTCCAACCAGTTGGAATCCCGTGTGCAACATGTTTAAGAATCAGATCCAAAGCTATAAATTGTTGTTTCTCATATTTGGGCCTTGTTGTGCAACTCTGATTCACAACAAAAAATAAAAACCCAACTAAACACGTTTTTTTTTTGTTTTCCAAATTTCTTAAAACACAATAGGAAACAAAAACAAGCAACAATACTTAACGGGCCCTAAGTTGAGAAAACTGCTCGTCATAAAATCAGCGCAGAAAGAAAACGTGAGCCCCACCTGGGCTAGCCGGCTAGGGACTTCCGTTAAGTACGTTCCAAACCGGTCCGAAATTGAAACCCAAGTTGCATAAGATCATAATTTGGATTAAAGATACTCAGTTCGGGTTAGTTAACTGAATTCCGATTTGGTTCGTTTAATTGATCTAGCTAGTGAGTTGGGTTCAAAATTTTGTCACAGTGTACAATGAAAACCAGAACAAATTACACCAATCCATTCTGGTTTCGGTTTGAATATCGATTCGATTACTTGACATGAACAACAACCAGAACGAAACCAAAAAAAAAATGACAACAGACCGAATGGGTCGCCAACCATCAACCGACCCATGGTTGATTGTCGTTTTCCTCTGACCAGTTGCTGTAACCGTTTCGTTTCCGTACTCCTTCTCTATATAACTCCACTACCTCTCCTTCCCCAACCCTCCTCAGTCTTGCTCCTGCAAGCAACAACAAAACCAAAACCAAAAAAAATGTGCGGTGGTGCGATTATTTCCGGTTACGTCGACGAGAAGAGCGGCCGGCGGTTGAAGGCCAAGGAGCTCTGGTCGGAGCTCGACACACTCTCCGACTTCCTCGGCTTCGGCTTCCCCGGCGGCAACAAAGATGTTAAACCCATTAATCATCCAGGTAAAAAAAAAAAATTCAATCGCCTCCGCTTTCTTTTTAGGGATTTCAATTTCTTCCCCCTTTGTCGTTCGATTGGGATCGGCTGTGGTACCGACTCCGCCTTCCGTTCTTCAATTGGTTGCAGGCGCGGCGACAGATGATGAAGGAAAGCGTAGCAACAAGGCGAATTGTAACAATAACGATGATAAAAGAGCCCGGCGGCAGATCAAAGGTCGGAAGAACGTGTACAGAGGGATAAGGCAGCGGCCGTGGGGGAAATGGGCGGCGGAGATCAGGGATCCGTACAAGGGCGTCAGAGTCTGGCTGGGAACCTACAGCACCGCGGAGGAAGCCGCTCTGGCTTACGACGGCGCCGCCAAGCGGATCCGCGGCGACAAGGCCAAGCTCAATTTCCCGGACATCTCCGCCGCCTTTCAATTCCCTCCGCCGCAGCCGGCTGGCCGAGGGGAACAAGAAGATCAACAACAACAAGGAGCAGCCCCGGTTTCCTCCTCTCCTGCTCCCGAAACCCAGCCGCCGGCCAAGAAGCGTTGCATCGCCGTCGGAGCCGAAACCGTCCTTCCTCCGCCGCCTCTTCCGCCGCAACAGGAGGCGCAATCGTTTCTGGGATACGGGCTGGAAGAGCAAATCTCGAGCCTGGAATCGTTCCTGGGGCTGGAGCCGGAGACAGGGGAGGGGATCCCGGCTGTCATCGGAGGCGGTGGTGAATCGGCGGAGGATCTTTGGATGCTGGATGACTTGGTGAACCAGTGCCAGTACCAGCAGCAGCTGCTCCTGCCAAGTCAGGTGGCTTACTGAAAGAGAAAAGAGAGAGACAGAGACGGAGAGATTTGCAGTAAGAAATAAAAACAGGGGAAGAGATTACGTTGATGACGCAATTACCAATTATGGGGCTACTGGTTAAGGCCGGTGGCGTTTCAGTTTAGATGTCTGATGGAGGATTGGGGTTTTTTTTTTGTATTATGCTTTCCATTAGTATTATGTATTAATTAAGGGTACTCTAAATACTTCCCGCTTAATTTTCTCTTTGGGTTTGCGGGGCAATCTGGCGCTGGTTTCAGTGGCCTGTCTGTTTAAAAATAACATTTAATCAAGGTATTTTGTGTATAAGTTCATCCTTCATTTTCCCCTTTAAACCGAATATTTCGTAACTACAAACGATAAGAAAATCTTTGCGTACTTGTTTAGTTCACACTAACACACACGTACTATATGAAATTAGGGTTGATGTACAAGTTCGTGTATTCTTTCGACCTGTAAATAAAGTGAGTGGTTTTCAAAGTCAATCCATTATGGTACCGATGTACCGTATTCTTATGACCCATTTAACTATCGAGAGGGGAAGTATAGTAACTAATTAACTCGGCTTTTGTGGTGTTTTGTAGTTTGTGAGATTGATGTGTGACTTGGAGCTGCAGGATGAAGTTATACAGACTAGTGGCCGCCGTATTTTGGTACGGATGTACAGTATTTAGATGAGAAAGTTATATAAAGACGTATATATGTATTTATACGGCGGGTGATGTATATGGTACGTAGAAAATTGAAAAATTGTGTGTGTTTGCAGAGTGAAGATAGTTATCCACCATTTTGGAATTGAGCTCTTCTGGAAACCTCTCCTTGTCCCGTTTTCACCAACTTGTTTACTATTAAATTGGTTTCTTTCCATTCCTCATTTTGTTACCAAGAAAAAAGAGAGCATATTGGTTACTCAAAGGTAAATTCAAAGGTGGGGAATCTTACTGTATAAACTATAAAGGTGGGGAATCATTATGGTGTGCTGTTTTGTTATTTTATTAAGGATAATCTAGTAATTTATGTTTTAATTTTAGGACAGGCGATCAGCAAATTTAGGACGACACTTATCATTTCAGCTATTTTATTCCATATTTACAATCCTAGATGTGGAAATTGGGAGTGGAATGGATTTTCACGAATGGAGACGATAATTAGCTGGTTAGGATCTGCTTGTTGATTTATTTATTTTTGGTTTGTTTTGTTACATATTTGGCTGTCGGTTCATAAAGATTGGTATCAACTAATTCCATCAAGTCATTTGTTGTCACCCTTATGTCATTTATTGATCTCTCTCTAAATGTACAATAATTCATGAAACAAAGTAACATACTAGCTTATTGAGCTAGCAATAAGAAAAATTCATACACAAGAAACTTATTATAAAGAAAATCTCACTTAGACAATACTAAAACAACGAGATAAATGCAAATAGAGATTCTGCCATATGTTCATAAATAGACTCGACAATTGCTATTTGGTCTCTAGCTAGCTAGTTCATCAAGTTAGTAGACGAATAATAACAAATACAGGGGAGTCATGCTCACTTTTGATTAGGGTAAATGCCACATTTGGTCACTAAAATTACTAAATCGTGTCATGTTTAGTAACTAGAAAATTTTAATATCAATTTTGGTTACTCGAATTACTGAAACAGGTCACATTTAGTCACTCTCCTATTAGCCTCCGTCCAACTTCATTAATTGAGTTGGACGGAAACTAACAGGATAGTGACTAAATGTGACATCTTTCAGTAATTAGAGTGACTAAATGTGACATGTTTCAGTAATTCGAGTGACTGGAGTTGGACGGATGCTAACGGAAGAGTGACTAAATGTGACCTGTTTCAGTAATTCGAGTGACCTAAATTGATATTAAATTTTTCTAGTGACTCAACATGACACGATTTAGTAATCTCAGTGACCAAATGTGGCATTTACCTTTTTGATTAAGATGTTTTGAAGCATTCATTGGTTTCACGAGTGTATCTTTGAATTAGATTATTTTGTCTATCTTCGTGACTGTAATCCACCTTTTGAGTTACCAAAATGACAGTATTCTTAACGGGAGCGGATCAAGTCAGTAGCTCTTATGGTGAGTAACCATCAGTAACCTGTTCACATCCGCATGACATCAACATCCCCTCTCTCCTATAAAGTTTTTTTATCTTTTCCCTTTTAATCTTTAACGGACGATTTCGCTCTCGTTTTAAGTCGAAATTTAAATTTTTTTGCACAGATAAATCAGATTAAATGTGCTCTTTAAAATTATATCCACTTTGATATATTTTTAGTAGGAAAAAAATTGAATAATTTTTTACCAGTCATTACCATATGATATGCTCAATTTTAATACCATATGGTAAGAAAGCGTACCATGATGGTATGAACATACCAATATGGTAAGAAGGTTGAATACATGATAGTAGGAGTATACTAACTGTCATTTACGACTTTCATCATTGTTTACCACAAGTTACCATCCACATACCATAGTGGTAAAGTATGATAATTTTTGGTCCAGTATTTTTTTCACCCATAAATTTGTAGATCCAATAGATCATGATAAACTCGTTCCTTCTGAGCAAACGTTTTCAAAAATGACTTAAAAACGAAGAAGTTACCATATGGTATGTAGTTGGTAAAAAAAAGTTTCTCGAAATATATTGAAAATTGATCTCATTTTGTAGAGCACAACAAACTCGTTCCATGTGTGAAAAAAATTGAAATCCAAGTTAAAACGAAAAAGATAAGAGCCGATTATGAAAATTAGAAAAAATAAAATGTCTTTAATTGACAACTCTTAGATCTGAATATTCTAGGCTTACTTAAATCTAAAGGTCCAGATTTAGTTACTGACCATATCCTAAGCCATTCATAACTGTCTTTACTTCTTTTTTTACTTACTTCCTTTTTTAACTTGTATACTCTTTTCAAAATTATAAGACATACTTGATTATTGTTTTGTACTATTTTTTTCTAAATTGATTTAGGGCTCAACCTCCACAACCAATCTATCTATCTATCTATCTATCTATCTATCTATCTATCTATCTATCTATCTATCTATCTATACATAATATTATAGCAATTCAAAAGTAGTTTGTTGCCACATAAGCATTTGGAGAATTTACAAGGTGCCATGGTGGACAGTTTTTTTACAAACAAAAAAAAAATTAGTTAAGGATCAATTAATGTAGCTAGATCTATCTTTTTTTAATATTTTTTTTATTATAATGATCATTTATGTAGCTATCTCTATCCTCTTTTGATATTTTTTTATTCAATAATTGTATTTTTCAATATATATGTGTAGCAACCGTATACTTATATTTCGAGAGTGACATATATTGTAATGCTTCAAAAAATATATTTGATTAAATCTGATCAATTAATTTTAATTTTTATTAGAACTTAATATAGGTTTTATTTCGATAAAAAATAAATTAAACACATAGATAAGTAATAAAAAAAATTAAAAACAAAATATAATGAAGAAAGTTTAGATAATACACATTTAATAATCAATTGAATTTGAAAAATCAACTATATAATTTTATGTTTTGGTTATCAAACACTATCTTTTTTTAATGTTTGTATCTATCAACGAAAACAAGTATTAAATAGCAAAAAATTACATGCAAAAAATTAATGTAGCTAAATCTATGCAACAAATTACATGCACAATCTTAGGGGTTAAGCTCTATGATTTAGATAACTAAGACTTGCGGTTCACTCATTAAGGGTTAGGGTATAGTATCATGCCCACAAATCCGGTTAATTCGTGGTCCAGATAGCATTTCCTTGCTTAGAGTATAATATCATGCTTAGATATTGACAATAGATGTGACATTACACCAACAAAATGAAGATATTAGTATAAGTAATGGAATTTTTATCTCAAAACAAACACCAACGATAAATAAATTTTAGCAAATGCATATTTGATAAGTTAAAAAATTATACAACAATAGACCATGTTAAGATTAGAACCCTCGACAGTGTGTGAGTATCTTGGACCGAGATTCTAAACCAACATCTAAACAACGACCATGAGTTGAGGGTGAGTCTATATTAAACTTCAGGAATTAACAATTGGTACATATTGTATAAGATATTAAATTGAGTGTCTTGATAGAAAAATATGATCTTACACCAAGACAGTAAATTTTCAATTGGGATGACCAAATTTATGTAATATTGAAGTACCTTTATAAAAAAAAATTCTAACTAAGTCCTCGTCATCTGAGCAATATCATTGGTTGAGAGTTCGTCCAAACTCGAGATTCATTGAATGACATATATTGTATAAGACAAAAAAAAATTGAGTATCGTTATTGACAAATCTTGACATAACATTCTATATGGGACGTGATATATCTTTGTGACATGATTTTTGATCAGCGAATCGAAGCATCATATGTGAATGTGCTAAGTATTGAGAATTTTTAATTTATAGACGCACCGCATACTCGCCAATGAATGCAAATGTAAAAAATTTAGAAGATCCAAAATATTTTAAACATATAGATAAATTGATTAATGTAAATGATAAAATTAAACTCACCGGCAAATGGGCGGGTAAAAAGCTAGTGCTATTGTAACTTTGTAAGTCTGCTCACCAACTTAAACGACACACTAGTGAATTAACTAGGATATATATGATTCCAAGTTGATAAATAAATGTGGATAGGATGAGTAATAAAGTAATAACATGCCTATCTCAAAATCACCAATAACCATCATCTAGTTCTGAACTGGAAGCCGACACATAAAATGCGGTGAGAATTTAAGATATAAATCTTTTTATTTTATTTTAACTGCAACGTCGCTCATTTAACGATCTACTATGAGGTTGATTGTCACATTAGATAAAGTTTAACGGGGTTGGACAATCAGTGGCCAAACTTGAACTATTAAACTAATCTTAGTGACCGCGAATGTGAATAAAATATTTTTAGTGACCAAACATTAATTTTTTTTATTAAACCAAGTGACCAAACTTGCAATTTACCCCGATGACTAATATCAAATTGGCATCTATAGTATCCTAGGAAGGTGACGTCTCGATTGCAAATTAGTGGAGTCTAGTAGAATTTTGATCTTAAGTTGAGTTCAACTTGTTAATAAATGAATCGAGATCATGACCCGATGTTGAGTTGGCTTGTTTATTGATCCATTAGCTCGTATTTGTCTTGAGGTCAACTCAAGATTGACTCATTATGAGCTCACGAGCTCTAATTGAGTTTGGCTTATCGATCAGCTCATGCTCGAGGTTGAGTAGCAAATTATTTCATTTATAAGTTTTAATTGTCCTTATTATGTCATCTAATAATTAATATCTAAACAATATATTATAAATAATTTATCTTTCAAATTATGAAGGG